AGCAGCTGCTAAGTTGTTAAGAGGCGATACAACCTAGTAGCAGCTAGTTAGATGCCAGTTAGAGTGATTTCCAGTAAAACTGTCCTGTAAAGCAGTCGCATGCCACACTGCCTGATCATTACAGTTTTTTGCTGAACTGATAGCAGCCTCATTCAAACCAGGATCAGCACTGGTCCTGATAAATATAGAACTGAAATTCTGTTGGGCAGTGGCTGAAGTGGATATCTGCACCATGTTTTGTATTGCTTCAACTTTAAACGGAGAAAATACCATATGACTTGTTTAATACACACGTATAAAACTGAACAACTGGTCATTCAATGCACTGTTTCTATTGAAAAGAAGTATTTGCACCCTTTTTACTGCAAATAACATTGCAAAGACTTGAGATTCAAATTGAACTTATAAAAAGCTCTTCTAGATAGTCCCTCCGTCTTGTATACATTATGTATATTTTTTTTCTGATATACAAGTTATCACTTATTAAAAGCAGATTTCCTGTTTAGTTTTACTCCTTTAGTTTCACAGTTACATTCTGTTGCGGTACAGAAATGGTCAGATGGTCTACCCACCATTTTTCTTGCAGATATCCATCACTACTTTTCTGCTGCTGAGAGCCAATTTCCCCCCACAGAGATCATTATGGTTTATATGATCTTATCTTTATCGGTAATGAACAGACAACAAAAGTACCCGCAGTGTAAAGGGCGTGCTCAGGGAGCAGCTGCACACAGGTTACTGCCTCCAACCCTCTAAATATTTAAAGGCGTTGTAGGCGGCTGGCAATTGTACCTCACTTCTGAAAATCACATTTCAGGTGACTGTGTTGTTTCTAATTTAATAAGCAGCCGTCATCTCTCCCCTGGAACAAGAGATACAGAGGAAAGTGTTCCTTAATAACATTATCTGCACACACAAGTCCATTAGCAAAACTCTGAGAAAGCCTGGAGGTGGAAGGAAGAGATGAGTCGCTGCAACATGTTGACATTTGTGCAGATACAGAGGACACTGTATGCTGTAAAGTCACATAATTGTTCTCTTTATACTCTTATTCTCAGCCCATTTGCACGTAAATTACACATTTCATACCGCACACATTGGCTGTCTACTAATTTGCAGATCTAAGACATCCAAACACTTGGTTTAGAGGAAGAAACAGTAGCTCAACGATGACTGGACAGATTGCCATGAAATTGTGTGTAGACATTTGTATTTTTTTTAAAAAAAAAGATGGATGTAGAATTTAATGGGCAGATGTCCATGAAATTTACAGAGCGTATTCATGCACGTTTGAGGATAAATCTTTTCCAATTTGGATATTTTTAAATCTTTTATTTAGTAGCACTTTCAAGCCAAAATATCAGCTTTGTACAAACAATGTTTTATGATCTAACAAGCAGGCTGAGCACATTCCAGTGCTGGATGTATTCTAGGTGACCTGCCAGGGAAGATCTGAAAGTACACCCCTCCCTTTTTAAGGTTCATGTGAAGTAAAAAACAAACAAACTGTACAAGTCGTCCTACTTGAATCTATGTGGAACAGTTCCTACAAAATAATAATATCATAATAACAATAAACTTCATTTCTACAGTGCTTTTCTAAGCCAGAGTTACAAAGTGCTTCACAATACAATACAATACAATACAATACCATTCAATATAAGAAAAACAAAAAACAAAAAAGTAAAAGAACATCATACATGCAAAAAATGCAATAAATACATATCTACAATGTTATATAAATGCCAGTCTGTACAGGGGGCTTTTCAAACTAAGGAACTGACTCAGCTGATTTGATGTTTAGGGGTAGTTTGTTCCACAGCTGTGGGGCTCACATCTTGAAAGCACGATCTCGTTTGTTTTAAGCCTGGACTGTGGATGTCACAGTTATGTATTCCTGGTCACTTGGTCTTTACTGCATAGCCAGTCACCAAGCCTCAGTCAGTAATTTTAAATTCACTATGTTGTCCCATGCCTCCCTGCCACTCCTACCTGCCAACCCATCACATATCGACACATTTCCTGCTCCTGCCTGTCCACCATGGCCACTTCATTAAGGCAACTCAGTTCACTTGTTCCTGATTACACACAGCCAGTTTATATACCCCAGCCTTACAGACACTCATTGCCAGATCGCTCTTTGTCACTCATGCAAAACTCTCCATTACTTTATTCCGGACTGATTTCCCATTGTCGACCCTGCCTGCCTCTGACCTGCCTGCTTCGTTTGATCCCCAGTAAATGCATCAGCCTTCTCTCCCTTACCATGAGACCTGCTTCCACGTCCCTGGTTCCTGTTTGCCTGTGGCTTGGCATTTCCATCTGACAACAGTGCTTCAGTATGGGTATTCCAGTCTACTTATCTGTGGTTTTTCTGCGGTCCAGAGACTTTCACCGTATTCCCACACTTGCCATTGTGTGTGCATCCTGTGTGTACTTATCTGCTGGCTTCTCAACCCTTGGCCTGGCCTCGACCTGCCTTCTTTCTGTCCCCCTGCTTAGACTGAGTACTTAGCAGGTTACAGATCTTCTGCCTCCGCAACTAAATCTCCAGCTCCTACACCATTGCCTATTGTTGAACTGAACTGTATGAGTTGTTGGGCTAAGGCCACCACTCACCTGCCTCTCGGCCTGGCTCAGCCTGCCAAACCAGAAGGGTTGCCAAGGACTTTGTGGAGAGACTTTGTTGGAGTGTTAAACTGTACTGTATGCTGTTTACTAGCCTTGTTCTGTACCTGCTGAATAATAACTGGAAACGTCATTACCAACGGTTCCTGGTCTCTGTTGTGCTACTAGTGGGTCCAATACCTCCTGTTACAAAATAGCTTTTAATAACAATTGATTTTCTGATCTGAGGGGTCTTGGAGCAAAATAAAGGGTTAAGAATTCTGTAATATAAAGCATGGTAGGTCAATTACCATGAGCTATTGTGTGTCAAAATCACTCCAACTGTGATACAGTGATACACAACTTAAAACAAATGTGGACAAGGGGTGTAAAGTAGGGTGACCAATGCCCTCCTTCCTATTTCCTTTCTCCTACTTATGAGGGTGACACCCATTTTCAAACTTAATAGTGATCTCAAAGACACCAACTTATTGTCGTAGAACGGTTCATATGATGTCTTACGTAAAATGCATGCACAATAGTTCGTATGATATCCTATGAATGTGTGTCCCACAAATGACATTAAGTCCTTAAGGTACAGTTAACATAATTAACATAAAGTAACTGAAGTTAGATTTAGGCAATACAAGTTACTGAGGTTAGGTTTAGGAAAAGAAACATGGCAAGGACACACCTTAAAATGACTCAAAGTTCACACGGATCCAAACATGCAACTTCAGGGAAAAGTCCAGGCAAATGTCCATTTTTTGTGAGCCATCCACCGCCTCATCCTGCCCCCTTCCAAGTGCTTGCGACTCCTTCCTTGTTTACTGCCGTCAGCACATTAGTCACGTGATTGCAGCCTACATGGGATATGAATTTGGGTGCATTGCTTTTTGTTGGAAAACATATCAAAAATGTGTGACAACAGCTTGAATACACACCTGTAAGATTTTGTGACAGCATCTTGCATGGTTGTGATCACGTTGACAAAATCTGTCTGCAGACAGCCATGTAAACAGCTGGCAAATACTCAAAACCACTTTTATGGTGGTCTCTGCTGCTATTGGTGTCACCAGGTCCACATTTAACCATTAAGACACACAGAGACTCACAAGGTGAACACAATACCAGCCATTGGGATGGTGTTGCAGCTGGTAATGAACATGGTACCCTCTGTGGGTCATGTGTCATATTACACACTGTACATCAAAAATTGCAGACAACAGATGAAATGCATGTATTCCTGTTGCTGATTGTTACATGTGTTCAATTGAAAAAGAGCAGCATACCTACTACAAGCAGTTGATGTTATTACTAAGAATCAGTCATAGACCTATCAAAGTGAAAGTGAAAAAGTGTGAATCTCCATTAACAAGCCATGAAAATTGCTTGACAGCCTGACAGAGGGGCAGCCTAAATAGTGTTGTAGCACTCGATTGGTCTTAAGACCACTTTTTGAAGGTCTCAGTCTCATTTTAACTCGACCACATTTTTAAGCTAATTAAAATCCTAAGATCTTTCCAATCAAGACCACGACTGCAGGAATATCACTAAAATGCCTGTGCAAAAAGGAGTTTTCAATAAGGATAGTCAAGTTGATTTCATCTCCATAGTGTTCCCACGCATAAAATTGACCGCTACAAGCTTTTTGATTATTTTATAAAGACATTTCTCATGGTACACTCATACTCATGGTATGGCAATAAAAGAGGTGAATGAAAAGGGAATCTTCATAAGTCAATTTCAGGAGTGCATGTGGTTTGTATGTTCCACATTTTATCACATGTCTGTCCTGCAGTGTGGGACTCGCATGGTCTGGTCTTGGTCTTGACTTGGTCTTGGTTTAGGTGGTCTTGGAACACTGGATGGAAGTGCAAGTAAACTTAAACTATTGATTTGCACACAGTTTGCATGATCTACACTCCAAAGAAGATAAACCTAGTTCTCAGGAAAGGCTTTGAGCTGTGAGGCCATTTTGGCTGAATGACCACACACAGTGTTGCAGGATCACATGACACACTCGCCGAAAAATACATTTTCCAATCACGATCACTGTTAGAGGAACTGCTTCATTACTTCGAGTCATTCAGCCGTGCAGGAAGTCAGTCAACCCCCATGAAGCAAGTTTCTAGGGCTGTAGTGCACATGCTCAATGGACCCCAAAATGCTTTTGCCTGCAAAGCCTGAGCTTTGTCTTGTTCTTTCTGATAAATTGAGGAAGTACTTCTACAAATCTATTTGCTTATGGGCTCAGTGAATGTTTCATACTAATGTATTTTAACCAGTTATTTCTATTGTCCTCCCTATTTTCATTTTGCTAATAATTTCTCATACCAGCTGCCTTCCTCATGTTAAAATTACTACTCCCATCTTTTGTCCTCTCTCTTCAGCTGCCATCGAGGCCTGCCTGGGTCACCTGCTGAAGAGACGGGCAGCCGGTTTTCTCCGCAGTGACAAGATCGCTGCCCTCTTCACCAAAGTCGGCAAAGTCTATGAAACAGCTGGCGAGGTTTGCCGTAAAGTGCAAGAGCAACTCCAGCAGCAATCAGAACTCACCAGGTTGGTCACAGAGTCACCCCCCCCCCCCCCCCCCCCCCCTCCTTTAATTGTAATTTCTTTGAATGAATTCATCCCAACCTGTCCCTGTGCAGCAGTGCGTAAGCGTTCAGTAAATGCTTTTTAAGAGACAGCTTTGATTTCACGTTAAACTTTCAATTCATCTGTTTCTGATTGGAGTGTTCCCAGCAGGGACCACACCTGACACCACAATCAGAATTTAATTTGCGCAAATTGAGTGAATCTGCTGCCTTAATTAGAGAGGAAGAGACACTCTTCTCCATTACAGCCCACTTTGTGATGAGGATAATAAGACTCAATTATGCACCAGAACATAAACTAATTAACATCAGCTACAATAAATTTACGATCAGGGGTAGTTTTATATGGGATGGACACAATAACAGGAACACCTGGGGTCCAATAATACATCTGTAATACATCCTGTCTTTGTGACTACTTGTAGCTTTTTCACAGCAGAGATTTTGACTTGCCATAGCAGGTAGGGAACAGGTGCAAAGAATAATATTAATGATGGCTCTGCTCATTTTGTTTTTATTGTCCAAAGAAGCCATGAAGCCACTGGGGCTGAATGCAACATAACCAGGACCTTGATACTTCTACACCGACACGTAATGTATAGAGTCATAGAAGTGCCATATAAAAAAGAATATGTAAAAGAACAAGAAAATGAATGTTGAAATATAAAGAGGAAACAAAACAAAACAAAAAACAAATTAAAAAGGATAGGTAAATAAGATAGCTGAAATATAATGAGAAATAAAAAATATATAAATGTGGAAATTTAGAGATAAATTAAAAAAAGATTAATTTTAAGCATTTCCATTTCTATTCACATGTATTTGTTGATTTATTTATGTATTTAATTATATTTTAAAAAATATATATTAATTTATTCATCTCACATAAATTACTTATTTTCTCACTATTCACTACATTTTCTATTTTTTAACCTATTTTTATATTTTATAAAAAAGACATAAATGAACAAATACATGAGAAAATAAATGAAAAAAGTGTAAAAACATTTTTTTTAAATTTTTTGTTATTTGTCTATATTCCACATTTTTTATTGACTTCCCTGATCTTTTATTTATTCCTTTTTATATTTTCACGTTTATTTCTATGATTTTACAGAATCTTTTATATGACGCTCCTGTGACTCTATAGTAATGCAGCCCTTATTAATATCATCAGCAACACCTCAGCTTTTCCTGCTATGACTACTTTGTGTGTCTGCTGTGAATGAATGAGAAATAATGTTCAGTTTTAGTTTTTGGTTATATGATAACTTAAATAGATTAAGATGTTCCTCTTTATTTTAATAAGAGTTAAATCAACACCTCTGACAGTCTGCACAAAGAGCTGCTGTACTGTATTCACATGCCCTTGTAATTCAGTACACAGTGTTAAAAATTATCATAAATTACATTGTAGAATTATGTTCATGTGTGCTGCTTCAGTGGAATGACAAGCTAACAGCTGACTTTACATTTGTTGTTGTGGTAACACTACTGCACAAAGGCAGCAAACAGCCTTACCTTTATTCGTGGTTTATGTATCTATGGTGTTGAATCCAAAATGTGTCGTCACATTACTTCCCTGATGGTTTTCTGTCATGATTATCTGTTCAATACAGCTTGCCAGTTTTCTCCATTTTAGAATAACAAAGAGGACATCACTTGCTTATCAACAGAGACATGCGAGAGAGTGCATTTTAAAGTAAAAGTTAACACTGTAATGTTTGGATTTAGACAGATGACAGCCCTGTACAGATACAACAACAGCACACATTCTGTATGTTGTGAAATATTTTAGAAATGCATTGAAAACATATTGAAGGTGTCAGATTTAGGGGGCTTTAGTGGCATCTAGCAGTGAGGACTGCAGACTGCAACCAGCTGAGACTTCTCCAGTTTAGAATTCCTTTAGTGTCCATTGTTCAGGAGGTTTTTACTGGGAGCTGAATTATCTGCAGAGGTCTTTTGCTCTCCAAAACAAAGGGACCAGGTGATTTAAACCAGTGAAAACACTGAATATAACAGAGTATTACAAATCAGTATTTTTTTTCGAAGCTCTCATGAGGAGGGGCTGCGGACTATGGTGGCTGATGCGAAAACACAAATAGTCCTGCCTAGTTTGCCTGTTCTGGGCTACTGTAGAAACATGGCAGTGCAACATGGCGATCTCCGAAAATGAGGACCCGCTCCCTATGTAGATGTAAATGACTCATTCTAAGGTGACGAAAGCACAATTTTTATAATCAGATCAAGAAAAGATATTTGCTATATCATATCTCTGCCAATATATCCTCCTAAGTCCTTAAACAAAATTCAAAGTTTCAAAATGTGAGGACTTTTTCTGACATTATCTCCCAAATGAATGCCTAAGCAGAGTTTGTTCTTCATTGTATTTGTTGTTTTGTGTGTGTTTTTTTTTGTATTGGCCACATTATTATTTCATCCATGCGGCACCAGTGACATATATATTATCCACCTATTAAGTTACATTTTTGGTGCTGTTGCTCAATTTATATTTTTCAACATGCAATAAATAGAAAATAATTTGCTCAATTTTGGGATTTTTCAGGGGCTGAAACTCCCCGGTGACCACCTATACTTTGCACACTGCTTTTACAGCAACATTTATTTTCTGCCCGTTTTAATGCAAACACATATTTATTTAGACATCATCCACTTTCTGTCATTTCTTGTACACCAGGTCATTATCTCCATGTAAAACATACAGTTACACTCCATCACTGTAACACAATCACTGGTCAGCTGAGTGTTTACTAAAACTGAGCAATCTGTGTGCACACTGTGATAAGGCTCAGGCCTGTTTCCAGGTTTGTGTGTGTGCACACAAGGGACGTTGGTGTGTATACTTGCTTACATGTTTGCATATGTATTTCTGCGTGCATGTGTGTACACATAGTATGATAAAGTGCTGTATCTGCAGGCACTTAGGCACAAGCCTCGCTGTTTGCAAGCCCATTAATTGTCCATTAGCCTGAGCCACATGGCTACCACATGTCTCTTCAGGGCTGCAGAGTGAGGTTTCCAAATGGAGAAGTGAAAGCTTTGGGCAACAAGAACACACACCGCACACATACACACACCACCGATGCACAAACAATAAAGCACAGAGAGAATGTGTAGCGAGACGTCATTGCAACATGGCTGCGTGATGTGATGTATATCGGGAGTTAAACGTGTTTGGGTACGCTGGGCGCTCAGCTCTCCGTCTTCATATCAGCTGCCATCTCTCATGCATCTGTCACATCTCATTGGCCTTTATTTCCCCAGACACACAACGTTAAAGCCTGTTATTGTGTATGGATCTGCTTTTGCACAAGTCACACCCCTCCGCCACAACAATGCATACATGCATGAACACACACGCACGCGCGCGCACACACACACACACACACACACACACACACACACACACACAAACACACATGTTCCCACCCTGCCCCCTCTCCCTGTCATCCCACCTCAGGGCTCCATCTCTCATTTACCCTGGTTGCCATGGCAACATGGGTTGTGCAACTGGCGGCGCAAGAAGCATAGAGCATGATGGGAAACAAGAGACAGAAAGATAGACTATGAGCAGATATCAACAGTGGAATCAAGAGTTACTGCGGTGAAGTGAATGGTAATTACAGCGGAGCAGGACTGGATCATGTGTGTGTCTGTGTGTGTGTGTGTGTGTGTGTGTGTGTGTGTGTGAGTGTGTGCGTGTGTGGGTCTGTGTGTGTGTGTGTGTGTGTGTGTGTGTGTGCACGCATGTGTATGTGTGCCAGGGACAGGTTTGGTGAAGAGGCTGTGTTTGAGCATGTCTTTGCCAAAGGCTGTCAGTTGACACCTGCCATGGTTCCTTGTCTCCTTGTGATGTATTTCTGTACAAATGTCCTCCTCCAACTCCTCTTTTAATCTTTTTCTTACCGTGACAGCACGGTGATGAATTAGCAACAAACCATCCTCTTTTCCTGTCTTCCTCTCTTGCTGACACACTGAGTAAAGAGCAAAACTAGCATGTCATCTGCATTCATTTCCCATCCTGCAGTGCAAGCAGCAGATCTGCGGTGGCAACAGCTCTCAAAAACATTCAAGGATAATTCCACCGAGCTCTTGTTTTCATAGTTTTAGCTATTAGTTACATGCTATTAGGGATATACCAAATTTTGAAATTCTGCTTGGGTATTGTTTAAATTATCAATTTGGCCGAAGGCTGTTTCTCTTCTTGTTCTTTATTTTGTTTTTGTTGCTAATTATTTCCCCTTTTGTGCCAGGGAAGCTTATTTTACACACAGATCGCGCTACGGGGCTCTACGAAATCCCTTCTTTATGCCTCCTTTACATTTTTACACAGAACCAAACAACGGCGGCATCATGCTGCTACAGTGTGTGATTTTAAGACCAGTTCAGACCAAAGATTTGCAACGAAACCGTTGTAGAATGTTGCAAAGAAAATTTGCAGCAAGGTGAACTGGCTGGTCTGAACTCAACTCAAGCAGCTGGTTTTAGAGCATAAGGCTAGTCACCTTCTCTACAGTCAGTGAGCTTGTAGTGGAGTCTGTGGGTCACTGCAGATGGCATTTTAGCTTGCTGTGGCAGGTGCTCTGTCCCCACAGAGCCCTGTGTTTCGGTGGCGGTAAGTTGATTCGGCTGCTGGCTGTATGTGTGATTTAAGGTTACCTTTCCTATAGAACAGGTCTATACCTTGTCCTTAAACAAACTAAATAGCCTTATGTTATTTATCTTAATTACATGACGGCATGTCATTTCTGTCTCTACATGGTCGCGCATTTCCAATTCTCCTCACACACACACACACACACACACACACAGGTGGATGCACACACAGGTGAGCACACTCCCACCACCAAAACTTTTTAAAACTGACAATGCACTTCACAAAGCCAGTATACAGGTGTGTGGAGATGTGAATGTAAACACAGCTGAGTTTCTCTCTCA